ACCCACTTTATATTTAATAAATTATACAATATCTTGATAATTATATGAACAATATATGATTTTTATTGTCGGAATCATCACCAAATCATACTACCCATCCAGAAATATCAAAGGGTACATTTCAATATCACTCTATTGTATGAAAGTGTATAAAACTCACCCAAACCCCACCAACCCAAACCCTACACCAAATCTCGATATCTAGATAGAAATTATATACTTTTTTTAAAACTTTACTGAAAAACCTTTCCAAAAGCCCAAGATCACTTAAAGACTCTATATTAGATCATAAAGACCATGGTGCCACCGAAGTAACAAATCAAAACAACTCTAATCCAACCCCAACCCCCAAACCCTATAAATGTCAAGATAATCAAGTCATATTAATTTTCAAATCTTTCAATTATAGCATCATATATAGATCAATTTATCATGGTATTTCAATAATTGGTATTGAATTTCATATCAATTCATTCAAACCTTAATGACCGATGACCAACTCAATTTTAAACTATCATGAATCATATAACTATTGATACCATTGTGTTCACAATTGAAAATCTAGTCGATTGATATTAGTTTCATCAATTGGTCATATATATATGGTCAATTAGGGAATCTCAAAGTCAATTTTGAAAAACTAAGAGTAGCTGTATATAATATCTAATAAATCATATTTAAATATCAAAAATGATATCAAAATGCTTCAAATTACATATATAACATGATAGAACTGAAATAAATATCATATTAAATATTAAATATTGAGATAGTCAATTAAGGTACCTCAATAGGGAAGTACCCTAAGGACAATGAGATTCATTACCAAATTGATACCATATGTTATTAACATCATATGATGAGGCTCCTATCAATTTCATATCATTTTGACATCATTCAATATTCATGTCATTCAACCATGTCAGCTATTACTCATGGCAATATGACAAGTCAATATCAAGATGTGCTACAAGATAGAATATCATACCACTACTCTTATAATTGATATTGATAACGTATTTGAGTGGTAGAAATTAATATCTATATAATTGGAATATCTGCCAAGCTACTGTCCCAATTGAT